TGTCAGCGGATTGCAATGCGAAAAGAATTCATCAATGACGGTCAAATGGAAGTTTTCTCAATGCAAGTACCTGAGAACAAGACGAAATATAAAATCAGATTGATTTTCGACGATAGGACCTTTGGCGACTTGAATCAATGGCAGTTTTTTGGATTCTCAGCACCAATACAAGCACAACCAGCGAGTCATGAAAAATTCCTTGCTATATTGAACATGTTCGTATATATGAATTTAGCATTTCTAGTTGTAATAATATTGATTAAAATTGTGCAGTTCTACTGTAGGAAATAAAAAAGAATTTAAACATGCTCAATCTTGTCTGGTTTTGTCGATTCATGTGGGTAAGATAAATATGTTTATGCCTTGGGAATACATTATCAATTTGCATAATGTATTCCAATTAAAAACGCTACGTGACCGCTTTCTATCTATAGACGCGCTCTTCGAGAGTTGTTTACGCAACCAGTTCAGATGACCTTTCATGCACACGAGGATTTATTTTTATGATGATATCTCAAGATTTCCATTCGCTTCATATAATATGCGCATTTGACCATAAGCGATACGATATCTCGAGATTGCCAGACAGTTCACATATGCGCATAATAATTAACAGGACGCGACCGCATGTTCAATCTCTGCAATCCCACGCTATCTGCTCCTATAAAACCGCGTTTCGCACTGCAGTAGCTATCAGTTCATCAGTGAAAGCAGCCAACTTACCACCTACCTACCTACCAGCGTCAGAACCTAGTCTGTTGATTTGTCGCCGGCCGTTATAATACCAATAATAGTAAGTACATCTATTTTATATCAAAGTGCTCATTTCTACCCTGAATCGTACGTATACTCTCGAGTTTGCATTCTTGATGTTCAGCGTATATAATTGACTTTTTTTTCTATCCCATTCTTAGCATTTTTTCTTCTTCTTCAAATAATATAGACATTTTGTGATTCATTTAGAGTTTTGAAAATAATTCCACGATTCCGCGTAGGTATATTCAATTTTTTTCATTTCCTATTGAGTTTTGTCAATATTATTGGTTTTTCATCATTTCCTATTGAGTTTTGTCAATATTATTGGTTTTTCATCATCTTGTGAATAATTTCACCTTTCTGCGAATAGTACAGACCTCAAGTCGTTCCAATTTGATTTTTTCAAACGCAAAAGACGCTTTTTTATCTTATTCTTCTCTCCAGATGGATATCAACTCATTGAACAAAGCGTCCCTCGTGGCCAAGAAGCAAATAAAGAAGCTAACAGAGTTGCCCTTGGGACAAGCGCTCTCGATAGAGGGAGCAAGATTAACCAATACAAGATTCGGCAAGGCTGTTTTACTAGAATTGGAGGACTCGGTGGTGTTCTTACCGAACCGAGTGACAGCAGAGTACGAGCCTCACCTTGGAGAGTTCACCCCCAAAGAAATATTCCCTCATCTATAGAGGGAAGATAGACGTGGGAAAGCAGCACCCAGCCACATCTTTCGAAATCACCGAGAATAAAATATAGTGAGTAACTTTTTTTGGCTTTCTGAAAACGTATATTGGTATAACACAATCATGGATAATTTCAAAAATACCCTTACCAAAATCGATGAGACACTTTTAGCGATTAAAACAAACAATTCCAAACGACAAGCCTCATTTGCTCTCAAGTCAATCAACTCTCATATAAGAAAATGTATTTTGGCTACGAAAAAATTTCACTTTTCAATCGGACTAAAGCGAGAAATACAAACCAAAATTGGCGAGCTCAAACGAAAGAGGTTCCTCATAAAAACAATGCATAAACATCGTCATGTTGGCTCAGGTTTTAGAAAACAAACAGTTAGATGGATAAACCTAAATTCTATATTTGAATCAAGAATTCAAACAGCACTTATTCTCAACTTGAGACATAAGGAAGTCATTGACTTTTTGATGGATTCATTCAAATTATTCGAGAAGAAAATTCAGAAAATTTTCTATAAGTTCCCCATGCTGAAAATCAATTTTTCATTTTGTGGTGATTTCGTGAAAACATCAAATAATGTTGAAATAAGTGATCGCAAATATTTCAATACTCCTAATGCTACTGTGGACGTTGAAACGGATTTGGAGGATTGGTTCAAAATTAATGGCATTGATATGATTTTGAATAAATTGAGTGAATTTGCTGAGAAAAACAGTGGGTGGGCTTTGAAGAAAATAATTTCGTTAGAAGTGGCTATCAATAAATTTGAAATGGGAAACGGCTCGTCCTTCATTGAATTACCTAGAGACATTTCAAAGAAGCATGCTTGTATCAATGTACAGAACCTTGATAAAGCATGCTTCTATAGGAGCGTAGTGAGCGACCATTACACGAACATCGTTTGAATTTCCCGCCAAATCGCGAGGGCTCGGGACTTATTTCAAATAGAGGCTCCTGCTTGGTCGACAGGCAGGCGGTGAGAGGTGGAGGGGGAGAGAGAAAAAAAGTGGAGGGGGTGTCCCATACCGCCCGACTTCCTACTCAGGTGTGAATACTAATACTCCATTGGGAGCAGAGGATCGATATCACATCGAGAATTCCGAGACGATTCAGAAGTCAGGTAAGTTTTTTCGTTATTATACATACATATACATGTTTTCGGAACTGAAGTAGGTCCTATCGTCTATCCTGAATGGGAATTCACACAAACGATGCTAAATGATTTTTTTTATTCCTGAGAGAACTCGTACTAGGAAAATCAAATCAACTCAAAGAATATTTTCCTTTGAGTTTTAGTTATCATCGGACGGAACTTCTGGAAACAAACTGCACTCGCGGGTTCAAAAGTGACACACTATATATTCTCTCAATATGAATTATACTTCCATGAACCAGTATTATAGACAATTTATAATTAATGTTATTATATTGTTACGTTATTCGGGTGCAGAAGCGAACACGACACTATTTATTTTCGAACTTATTTATTTAAACTAAAGAAACACTAATTTATATCGAACTTATAACTACTATTTATGTGAAACGATTTATAACACGCGGTATATAACTGTCTCTCTGACACTCGCTGTTTGACTAACTGACGGCAGTTATTCGGCCGTTTATATATGAGATAACTAGACAGGCTTTGGTTCGAGAACCTTCTCGAATGTTCTTCCGTCTCCTTCTATTTGTTCTATACCTTTTCAACTTCAATTTCGGAATCGGTAAGTTATATTTCGGAAAAAGTAATCTCGATTTCAGAATTGGTGAGTTCGATTTCAGAAATGGTAAACTCAATTTCAGATTCGGTGAGATGAATTTCAGAAAAAGTCCATTCGATTTCAGAAATGGTAAGTTGTATTTCAGAATTATTATTGGTAGGTTCAATTTCAGAAGATGAGATCCTTTTATATGTTTGAAATGTTTTTAATTGCAAAAGAGAAGATTGTTTACAGTGGATGAACGGTGTTTGAGAGCCCTATGTTGAATCAGATTGAACATCTATGGGGTGCCTTCAAGTAATAAGTGAAGAGCTTCTTGCAAGAGCATCGCCAAAGGGTCATAGCTGGGGATCCGAACAGCTTGCTCAACCAGATAGAATTCAGACTGCGATGTCTTGAGGAATGAGCAGATCATTCAATGAAAATGATAACACCTCAAATGTGTTTGCATTCTCATAATCATGTGCAACGCTATTAACTTCCAGCGATGCGGATGGAAGGCATCTGTGGATTAAATTGAGATTATAATTATGTTATTGAATTGTTTTTGACAAGTTGAATATTGTAAATATGGTTTGTTAATCTCACATACAATTGGAAACATTTCGAACAAATATAAGATTTTTGTTTCTGAAATTGAACCTATACCAATTCTGAAATACAACTTACCATTTCTGAAATTGAATGGACTTTTTCTGAAATTCATCTCACCGATTCTGAAATTGAGTTTACCATTTCTGAAATCGAACTAACCAATTCTGAAATCGAGATTACTTTCTCCGAAATTGAAGTTGAAAAGGTATAGAAGCTTCTTAGAACAAACCTCTCTCTCTAATTGTTCCATCGATTGTTTCCAGAACATTCCAGAATCTTCTGTGACGTTATCTGTCACCGCGGCATATATTGAGTGTTCGGAAATATGTTGGTGTATATAGGAATCATCGAGTTGGAGGAGAGCAATCTGGGATGCGTGATACAGGATGATCGTTGTACTCCTGCCTTCCTGCTGATGTTTCTAAAGCGCCTCCAAGGGAAATATCATTACACTGCCCCCTCCTTGAAACGCATTCCTCCTGGAATGCACTCTGATCGTTATGAAGATAGGGACAACTGGTTTCATTTTTACAACGTGCAGTATGGTAGAAATAGCATGGCACTGTCTTCTCTCTTGGAGTTCCTTTGGAGTTCCAGCAGCATACCAGAATTTCAACTCCGGTGAATCTAAAACCTCTAGCATGTTCCTTACAATTCTACAATTCAAGCCATCCAGTCCACACCCCAGCTTTGGAACAGCAATCTTCTGTATGTCCTTCTCGAGTATGGTGCTTCGCATGTCGACTAGCGTCTCCCAGAGGTCCTTGTACGTGGGTTTATCAGAAGTTCTTCCTTTCGTTATAAGATAAAACAGAGACCTTTTCCCTTCAGCGCTGATGTCTTCTATTTCTAGTGCTCGACCGACGGAGGGACCTTGTTGATGAAGCTCCTCTAACTTCCCAAACTTCCTCATGAACTTGTTCGCTATTCCTTGAGACATCTGAAGATCCTCGGCGACGCAGTGAGCTAGTGCGTATTCTACAGGAATGGCAAAAAGGTCGCGGTGTTCTTCCTTGGTGACGCCAAACCTTGCTTTTGATGAACCACTGTATGTCCCAATGAATTCGTCGAATGTAAGCTCCTTTTCTTCCGGACAAATTTGTTGAACTTGTTGATCTTGTGTTCCCTCGAATGGTGCTAGTCTGTTGAAATGAACGACTCTTGGTTTGCCACTGGGTTCTTTACTGATGCGGTATATGACATCGTTGATCTTCTTCTTGACGGTATAAGGTCCTTCCCAAGATCTAGAATAGTTTTTTTTCCGAAGCTACTAGTCCACCTACTAGACTTAATCGGTTTTATAAAATTAAAAAACTTTAACTTAAAACTTCTAGAGTGTAATCAACACTTACCATTAACAATGGACACCAAATTCAAAACTGACTCGACCCCGAACGCCGTTTCTGAAGTTATCGAAACTCAGATCAACAACGTTAGAGACCTAGACTCCGAAACTTCCCGACCTCGCATAGAGAAATCTCGACCATTAGAGACTAAAGGAAAGATCGAACACAAGCCTAAGTCCAAACCTGCTAAGGAATCTTCCTCACTTTCGACGATACTCAAACCGTATCTTAGAACTCCCCTCACTGGAAATCCTTTTCAAGAAATCAGTACTTTCTTCCCGTCCGCTTACAACATGTACTACATCGTACACATCATGGACGACATACTAAGAAAGAATATATACTTTCGACGACAAGAGGATGCATGGCACCCTTTTATTTCGAGACTATACTTTGGTATCGTATTCTACATACAGACCCTACGTGCTGAGTTAAAATCTGGCATCATTTCACCTGCTCACAGGAGATTCTTGACCAAATTTCTCAGAGATTACCCCCCCGAAACACTCCCAATTCCCGGACCCCTAACCTCAACCTTTGAGGCCTTAGATTGCTCTACCCCCCCTAACTCGTTAGTTGGCTTGGTTACCCCCCAAGTACCTAAAACTCTCGTAGCCCTAAGAGCCCGGCAATTATTCATCACTGACGAAGGCCACTCCGGCCTACTTGCAGTCCCCTATATCCCTGGAATCCTCGGATTCATCAACAAGATGCTAACCGCAGCTAACGCTGACCAAGTACCAGACTATACCGTGACTCAAGGCTTTGACGACACAGTAGAACGCACCCTAAACGGCTCTATCTTTGCTCCTGGAGCATGGACACCTGTTCAGAGAACGACCCTTCTTCTACCAGGTATGTTATACTCACCTGAAACAAACAGAGACATAGACGCGACTTTCTATAACTATGGAAAGAGACTCAACCTCCCTGTCCCCGCCGCCGAAGACTTAATTTCGTCACTTCCCCACTTTTTATACCTTAACCGTGACAACACGTGGTTTGGCAAAATTGTCCAAATCATGGGTACCTACTCTACATACTTTAGAGCGAGCTCATCACTAGCTGAATGTTCAGCTAAATTCACAGCCAGCCCTCTAATTATTAGCGAGTACACCAAGACATCAGCTCAAACTGCTGCCCTCAACCCTCTCAATACCCTGACTCACGCTTTCCCCAATCAAGGTGTCTTCACATTCGAATGCTCTCACAAAACTTATGAGACATCACTCCCACCCGCCGCCACTATGGTAGCCCAGAGTGCAAAACTGAATGTAATGACCCAGCTCCCTAACCTAGGGAACTTCTCCTTACTCGGACACTTTAACGTGTCTCGACATGGCCCATACTGGACGAGAACCCCTTATCACCAGACCTCTGCAAAAGAGGAAACCTGGAAATCGATAGGCTCCATCGTTTCAGAGAAATATGCTCTGTCCCGCCCCCGACCCCCTCGAGATTGACTACCCCTGTAAATATACTCACACCCCCTATTTTTACTAGTTATAAAGTTATCATTAGATTTAACTAGTCCAAGTGCCCTTGGATAAGTTTAGTTGTAAGATTGTTTATTTTTCACAAACGTTTTTTTTTAATTATTAAAAAAAAAAACCACTATTAAACCTTTCATCAAACAAAAAGAAACAGGCCGGCGTACCTCAGTGCTTCGATGCTTCAATATCGATTCACGTCGAGGTATCGATCGTGGGTTCGAGACCCACGAACGCAGACTTTTTCTGATGGCCTAAGAAAGTGTTTGGGATCACACGTTAAAAGGTAAGGCCCCCGTCATTCCTTGCTCGCACAAGTCTTTCGAAGACTTCTGAGGGTTGCTCGTAAGGGGGCAACCGAATGACGGATAGAACAATTTTAGAACAACAATTTTAGAACAATCTCTGTAGTTTTGGACAAATACCTCGTTTCCTTTGTGGATTGTACAACCACACCAGGTCTCCTTCTGCGTATCCTGCACCCCCAGCTCTGATGTCGTATCGGTCTTTCATGCGATCGCTGGCGATTTTCAGATTAGAACGAACCAATTCGTGAATGTCGTTCATCTTTTTCATCAAATCCGTGACGTAATCTTCCCCCACTATGTCCTCACCTGGTCTACATCCGAAGACCAAGTCACATGGAAGCCTCATCTCCCGTCCAAATAGAACCTTCGCCGGAGTCTGTCCTGTAGATTCCTGTACTGCAGATCTGTAGGCCATCAAGAAGAAAGGAATATGTTGATCCCAGTCTTGTTGGTGTTGATCTACGACTTTGCAGAGATACCTCCCTATTGTTCGATTCATTCGTTCCACCATGCCATCTGACTGTGGATGCAACGGAGTTGTTCTTGTTTTCTTGATTCCTAACTTCTCGCTCATCTTCTTGAACACTTCACTCTCGAAGTTTCGGCCCTGATCAGAGTGAAGTTCCAATGGCACCCCGAAACGACTGATGAGTTGATTCATTAGGACATCAGCGACAGTTACGGCTTCCTGGTTAGGGATCGCATACGCTTCCACCCACTTGGTGAAGTAGTCCATGCAGACAAGGATGTATTTATTTCCATTATCAGTCACTGGAAACGGCCCCGCAATATCCATAGCAATCCTCTCGAAAGGACTTCCAACATTGTACTGTCTCATGGGTGCCCTTGGTTAACGATGAGGCCCATTGCTGGCAAAGCACACGGTGCATTTGCGGCACCACTCCCTGACGTCGTCACTGCAGTTCACCCAGTAGAACCACTCTCGTACTCGCTGCAGTGTCTTCCTCACTCCTAGATGTCCCCCTGACGTTCCATCATGTACATATCCAAGTACTTCCGACACTCGGCTCCTAGGAATGACCAACTGCATCCGATTATCCGACCCATCATCGCTCTCGAGATTCCTCTTGAGCAGGTCATCTTCTAATACCAAGGAGTCCCACTGACTCCAGTACGCCTTCAAAGTCTGTGAAGATGGTGCTACTTCTTGCCAAGAAGGACGACGATTCGCTTTCTTCCATTCTCGAAGCTTGTGAAGTTCTGGGTCCTTTTCTTGCTCTTGCTTGATTGCTGCAGGTAACCAATCTTCATTGAGAACGGTGGTTCTGTAGAGGGCTGCTTCCTTATCCTCCAAACGACTACAATGTGAGCACTCAGGTGGACATGGCCTTCTGGACAATGCATCTGCATTCTTATGGCTCGTCCACCCTCGGTAAACAGGTCTTTTTGGATCATCTCGCTCTATTTTTCCTGCAGCTGCTCGAACTGGTTTCTTCTCATCATCCAAGGGGCCCTTGATGACGTTTATAAGGTCTTCAGTTAGATTTTGCCTGGGACTGTCCGCTATGTTCGTGCTGTCATCGACGGTTTGGAATTTTGTTGCTTCTCGTGTAGCTTCTATCGCGGCCTCGATTTCTAGCGCAGCTGCCAGAGCACTGGGAGAGTCTTTAGGTCGAGTCAACCGAACCGCTTTCCGCATTTCCATATCGCGCAATCCATCCAGGAACGTTTGGACAGCAGATCAGATACTCAGGAGCTGATGGGTAGGCACACCGAACCAACCGAGCTACTTCCATTTCAAATTCCTGTAGGCTCTCATTGTCTCTCTGTCGACGGTTCTTCATTTGTGATCGTAACACTTGCTGTAGATGTTTTTGACCATAGCGCATGTTGAGGCGTTCGATGAGATAATCGTAGTTATAGGATTTGTCTTCCGGAATGGCTTGCAAGATGTTTAGTGCATCACCCCGTAGAGCTACTGTGAGAGCTACCACTTTATCTTCTGTTGTCCACCCATTGGCTTTGGAAGCGGCTTCGAACTGCTTCAGATAGTTCGGCCACGATGTTTTTCCATCAAATGTAGGTGGTTTCACTCGATTGGTAGTAGTCACTGCATCTGGCCCCACTGTGGTTTCAATCATGGGTCGTTGACCATTTCCAGACTTCTCCAGCAAAGATCTTCTTTCTATTTCGAGCTGCAGCTTCTTCTCCATTTCTTCTATCTGAGTGGTAAATTGGGTTGAAACCTGAGCAATGATCTTATCCTGCTGAGACGCGATCTGTTCTTGCTGAGCAGCAATCTGAGTCAGCACCTCTTCCCGATGTGTTGATATCTGGGTCAATACTTCTTCTCGTTGGGCAGATATCTGAGAGGCTATCTGATCTTGCTGAGCAGAAATCTGAGCTAATACCTCTTATCGCTGGGCTGATATCTGGGAGGCGATCTGATCTTGCTGAGCAGAAAACTGAGCTAGTACCTCTTTCTGAGCTGATATCTCTTCCCGTTGAGCCGATATCTGATCCAATACCTCTTGCCGTTGAGCTGAGATCTGCGATGCGATTTGATTTTGCTGAGCAGTAATTTGTGCCAGAACTTCTTCTCTCTGAGTTGCCATCTGATCAGCAATGTCCTGTCGCTGAGCCGCTATCTGTTCCGTAATCTTCTCCTGCTGAGCCACCATCTGAGCCGCAATGTCCTGTCGCTGAGCCGCTATGTCCTGTCGCTGAGCCGCTATCTGTTCCGAAATCCCAGCCAACATCGATTCCGCTGAAGCTGGTTCCTCGAAGGTGAACGTCTCTGGGTCCTGACCTACGCTCACCATATACTCTATGAGACGATGCTGAAGTGTAGCCTTGATCCCTGTTGTATCGAGATCTCTCTCCTCCAACTCGCGTTTCAAGTCCACCACTCTCAACTCGTGTAGTTTCTTCATTGCAACGGTCTGTTCACTTCACACTGGAATATCCCTCTTCTGACACCAATTGTTACGTTATTCGGGTGCAGAAGCGAACACGACACTATTTATTTTCGAACTTATTTATTTAAACTAAAGAAACACTAATTTATATCGAACTTATAACTACTATTTATGTGAAACGATTTATAACACGCGGTATATAACTGTCTCTCTGTCACTCGCTGTTTGACTAACTGACGGCAGTTATTCGGCCGTTTATATATGAGATAACTAGACAGGCTTTGGTTCGAGAACCTTCTCGAATGTTCTTCCGTCTCCTTCTATTTGTTCTAGAAGCTTCTTAGAACAAACCTCTCTCTCTAATTGTTCCATCGATTGTTTCCAGAACATTCCAGAATCTTCTGTGACGTTATCTGTCACCGCGGCATATATTGAGTGTTCGGAAATATGTTGGTGTATATAGGAATCATTGAGAGGTTGGAGAGCAATCTGGGATGCGTGATACAGGATGATCGTTGTACTCCTGCCTTCCTGCTGATGTTTCTAAAGCGCCTCCAAGGGAAATATCATTACACTATGAATAATTACAGTTCCTATATAACATCAACATCGGAGATTCGGAATATGATAATGTAAAGTGAAGGTAGTAAGTAGACCATCTTTAAAGTGGAGATAGTATTCAACTTTATGTATAGTAGTAAAACACAGTCATCTCCTCAAAATATATTTTACCCAATTGAGGGTCAGAGAAACATGTTTGGAGCATAATGTATTCCTATTTTTCCAAATTAATTCACTCAATAATGAACCATGATGTTTACTAAGGCTTGTGCCGCTTACCTGTTATGGAGATCGAACTATAACTCATTCAGTCAATTCAACGATTGTCAACAACGTAATCAGATAGTGGCACTATTTCAACAGCCACTACGATGCTACGATCATTTATAGAAACCCTGTATAATGGATCTAACGTCAGGAAATATTGGTAGGTATGTTGGAAGGATTTCAAGAGTTTCGAATAGTTTCGATGAAAACATGTTGAATAATCAATCAATTATTGTATTAACAGTATGTAGAAAAATAAATTCTTCACAGAATTCTTATCAGGAACAATACTTGATAAACAACCCACCATAATATTTGATGCTGCATCGGAAACAGGGGATCAATATCATAATCATACAGATAATCACGAAAATAATGGTGAGTTGATATAGTTACTTTTGAAAACGAAATTGTGGATAATCAATAACTGAATACAGCGTACTGGTATGTTATTATACACATGATATATCTCAACGAGTAGTTATTCAATACTGAAAAGTAAACAAAATATATCATTAATTCATTTTGCCTAATTTAGTTGGGATTTTCTCTCCTCGTTTCTATGTAAAATAAGAATATTATGAGTATTACTTCAATATATGTGTAGTAGGACAAATCAGCGTTTGTTTTTTTTTCATCAGAGAGCCTGAAAGAAAAAAAAAACAATCGTTTGTCAGGGAAACTTTGTATATTGAAGAATGTTCGAAGAAAAGAAATAGAGAAACGTATATTGAGAAAATATCGCATTGTAGAACTAGTATGTTGACAATTAACAAAAGCTACGAACCTTTTCGTTTCTTGCGCGTCTATAGGTACGGGGTATTTCTTTTCTTAAAAAGTTACATTCACTAGGATTGAGTTTTGAATTTACAGGATATATTTCGCAGAATTTTCATCAGAAAGAATGCTAGATGAACAACCCGCCACAATATATGATACTGAATCGGAAACAGACGATCGACATCACATTTATAATTATACAGATAGAAATGAAAATAATGGTGAGTTGATAGTTATTCTTGATGAACGAAAATATAGATCATCAATATCTGATGAATACACCGTACTGGTTATATCATATACAGTGAGGGGCAATATTATGGAATAAATTCATTTTTACGAGAATAGGCAACTTTTGAGACAAATCCCGAAACACGTCGATTTTTATTTCCAAATTATGATTTTGTGGCAGATATGTCATACTAGTGACGTCATCCATCTTTGCGTGATGACGTAATCGATGATTTTTTAAAATGAGAATAGGGGTCGTGTGATAGCTCATTTGAAAGGTTATTCAATTCTCTATGCAGTGATATGAACATTAACATAATTATTTATACAGGGTGGCCAAAAAAATATTTAATTTGTAAATGAAATTAATTGTCACAAAAAGAAGTATTATCATTTATTTAATACAAAATTACATTGTACTACTGTCGGAAAACAGAAAAACAAATTAGTTGACAAATGAAAATTGCTTTTCGCTTAAATTAAATGTTCAAATTGCCACCCACCTGCCTCTTGGCAGTAATTGAACGGACGAATACATTCTTCTTGAACATTGTGGATCATTTCTGGAGTTGAATTACGAATTTCCAATGTAATGCTATTTGTCAAATCTTGGAAATGTGTGGTCTATCGGCGATCTGGATCATCCTCATTGATTTTGTCTACTATTGAAACACTTGAAACAGTTTATAAATAAATGTTTAGAACTGGTGTGCTTTCTACTACTATGAAGAAACAAAAATAAATTCCGATATTAGGCAAATAAATAATGAGAACTAAAAAGATAGCAAAAAGTATAGTTTTTACAAATCGAGTTGGCTTGGGTCAAATGTAAGTCAGTTCTTGACATTTTCTCATAAGGACTAGTTTATTTCATGAAATAAATAAATAATGGCCCCATTAACTGAAACACAAAGAATCGAAGTATTAATTATGGTTGGATATGGAGATAGAACCAGAACACAACAAGAAGTATGTAATTTATTCACCATAAAATATCCTAATACGCCTATCACACAATCCACTGTTAGTAAAATTGAGAAAAAATTTAGAGAAACTGGACACGTGGAACATGTTGCAAATGCTGGTCGTCCACCAATGAATGAGGATGTGAAACTGTCTGTATTATTAAGTGTGGCAGAGAATCCTCAAATTAATTCTAGGCAAATTGCAGCTGATACAAACATTTCTAAAAGGTCTGTTTTACGTGTGCTGAAAAAAGAGAAATATCATCCGTATAAAATTCATAATGTCCACGAAATCAATGAGGATGATCCAGATCGCCGAATGCAGTTTTGTGAAGTAATGCAAGATTTATGTAATCAGAATCCACGCTTCATTCGTGAAATCCTTTTTTCTGATGAAACAACCTTCTGTTTAAATGGAACAGTGAATCGGCAAAACTGCAGATATTGGAGTCAAGATAATCCCCATTGGATGACTGCGGTACACACTCAGCACCCTCAAAAACTAAACGTGTGGGCAGGGATAGTCGAGGATAGAATTATAGGTCCTTTTTTCTTCGATGGGTCTCTTACGGGGCAAATATATCTTGATTTTTCACAAAATGAACTTATAACCGCCCTTACAGACATGTTTCCAAATGAAAATGATCGTAATTCGCCAAATGAAAACATATGGTTTCAGCAAGACGGTGCACCTCCGCACTTTGCACGTCCTGTTCGTGATTTTTTAAACAGATGTTTCCCTAGGAGATGGATTGGTCGACGAGGAACAATAGAGTGGCCCGCAAGATCTCCAGATCTTACACCACTTGATTTTTTCCTATGGGGTTACTTAAAATCAAAAGTTTACATCGATAGACCACAGAATTTACAAGATTTAAGAAATAGAATTAGATTGGAAATTCGTAATATACCTCCAGAAATGATCCACAATGTTCAAGAAGAATGTATTCGTCGGTTCCATTACTGCCAAGAGGCCGGTGGGTGGCAATTTGAACATTTAATTTAAGCGAAAAGCAATTTTTATTTGTCAAATAATTTTTTTTTCTGTTTTCCGACAGTAGTACAATGTAATTTTGTATTTAATAAATTATAATACTTCTTTTTGTGAAAATTAATTTCATTTACAAATTAAATATTTTTTTGGCCACCCTGTATGAATAATTATGTTGATGTTCATATCACTGAATAGAGAATTGAATAACCTTTTAAATGAGCTATCACACGACCCCTATTCTCATTTAAAAAAATCATCGATTACGTCATCACGCAAAGATGGATGACGTCACTAGTATGACATATCTGCCACAAAATCATAATTTGGAAATAAAAATCGACGTGTTTCGGGATTTGTCTCAAAAGTTGCCTATTCTCGTAAAAATGAATTTATTCCATAATATTGCCCCTCACTGTATAATATCTCAACCATAAGTGAACACCATAATGAATTCTGCATATAGGTAATGATTGTCTGAGAAGTTGATAAAATACGTCGATCGGTCGAACGTGTTTTCATAGGGTAGACAAATCTTGAACGCTATACAAGTGTACACTCGTCTTCAGAGATCATGTCGCACATGGACGGGGTCAGCTCTCTTGATCACCGATGCAATAAGAGCTATCATACCATCCAACCGCGACATGTTCGCTGAAGACGAGTGTACATATCTCAATTTCTATATTCTGGAGTGAGTGATCATTGATCTACGTTCTCATTCTGCATTTTGGAGAATGTGAGCTAAGACATTCCATCTATTACGATGTTCTTCCCAATGGAATACTTACGCCTCATAATCCAGCAACTTCAAACGAATTATCGGATAGCGAACGAATCATTAGTTCGATGCCACTCCAGCCGCAGCTACAGATAGTGGAAAGGTGAATATTTCATGGAAAACAGTTATATTCCATTGTTTTTCCTTTTTGAATGATCTTCACCTATCATTTCTTTTTCGCAGTTCATCACTCCCATTCAATACTCATCAGAAAAACACATTGTAGCAGGAAGAAGTGGCTACTACTGATCTAATGATTCAACCTTCCACCTCTCATTCAAACACAGAGAAGACCTACCCCACCACCAAGTCCAATTTTTGTAAATTCTGCAAACGCAAAAGAACCAAATTATCTCAACATTTATCCACAATGCACTTCATGGAAGAAGAAGTGACAAATTCCTATTTCGTTACGTGATAATTATTGATACATATCAATTTTATATCCTCAGATAATCCGAAAAGGAGAGCACTTATCACCAAGATTCGATTAGATGGAAATTTTGAACATAACATGAGCAACAAAGATGAAATAATGGGGGCCAGGACTTTGAAATCTAAAATAATGAAACCAAATAATGATACTCCATGCCCAAACTGTGAAGTCTTTATAACAAAAGGAGCTCTGAGAAGACATTAAAAAAAATGTCGTGATATTGACAAATGCCATTCACGTAATGTATATTCATCAAGCAAGGCTTTACGTGGTGATGTACCTGAAGAAGCCAACGATGTGATGAAAACTCATATATTCCCTAGTTTCAGAGAGGGTATCATCAAAGATAATATAATGTATGATAAATTGTTGATTATATACGGAAACACTATATGTATTGAGTATAGATCGCAACATAATTTTGCAATGATCAGATATCGGCTCAGATTGATCGTCAATTTTATATTTCGAATTAAGAATAAAAACGATAACATAGACAGTTGCCGAGATTTATTGCATCCTAAGTGTTTTGATGACATAGTAGAAGCGATGAATTCAATGGGGCAGTATGATCACACACTTGGAATATATATGAAACCAACACTACCAACCACCTTAGGTACTACCCTGAAGTATATTATACATTTACATATATCTGAATGTATAAAAGAATCTGATAAAGTTGGCAAAGACAATGCTATAGACTTGCTGGAACTTCTTAATACAGCATTGCCATCGCATATAAATATAACGGCGAATGAAAGTTTATTGCAGAATAAAAGGCAGAAAACTGTCATATTACCTTCTACTGATGATATTGAGAAATTGAATTTATTTGTTCTGAATCACAGAAATAGCTATTTTCAAAAACTCCAAGAAAAGTTCACAAAAGGAAACTGGATCAATCTATGTAGATATACATTGATATCAATATTGATTTTCAACAGGCGAAGACCTGGAGAGCTAGAAAGAGCGCATATACAAGACTTGGATAATATTCAGTTAGTCGAAGGTGGTGATGGTAAACTGTATTCACATTTATCGGCTGATGGAAAACGTGCAATAAAGGAATATCTGAGATTTACGATCCGTGGTAAACTAGCTAGAGGTGTGCCTGTATTGTTGCATAAATCAATGTTTGACTGTATCCAGATAATTTTGAAATATCGACAGCACGCAAAAGTTCACCCAGATAATCCCTTCATATTCGGACTTCCGCAAATTCAAAGTGGTCAGAACATTGTGTATCGTCATTTGATGGCTACGAATTTAATGAGGTTATATGCCTCAGAATGTGGAGCACTACGACCTTCACGACACTTTACGACACTTTACGTGCTACTCATTTAAGAAAACATATAGCTACAACATCTGTTAGTCTCAACCTTGACGGTAATGAAATAAGTCAATTGCAAAATTTCCTCGGCCATGAAGATAAGATTCACAAAAACTATTACAGACAGCCCATCATCATGGATGATATCGTCAAAATGAGCAAATTACTCGAAATCGCTCAAGGAGATTCAACGAAATCTAATGCTGAGGAATGTAATACAGAAAAAACTATTATACACACTACACAAAGACAGAATATATCAGAAAACAATACATTCTCTACACCAGAACGCCCAACAAAGAATTCGAGTACCAATCAAGAATCAGATGAGAATAGCAATGGATCATGTTATAATCCAATGGATTTGGAGGAATCAAATGGGGACAGTGACGACTCAAGTCACTATCAGATCACTAAGAAGCGGAAACGAAGGAGACTTCTAGGTTTGTATTGAAAAAAGTTATTTTTCATATTGATTGATTGATTATTATCTCATGTTTCAACCAAGCATTTGTTTTATCGTCATATACTTAATCATCCTAGAATATGGTACGATAATTTGATAACAGTATTCCAAATAATCCGTGAACATTATGTTTTTAAAATATACATACATACATATGATGGTCGACTCGATATTCATGATATTTTACAGATGTTGACCTAGGAACTGTTCAGCGCAGGACATGGCAAACTCCAGAAAAACATTCTATTTTGGGCATCTTCAGAGAATACATCTCTAACAATCGTATTCCTTCTAATCAACAATGTATGGAAGCTATTACCATGAACCCATGCCTCAAAGAAAGGGCTATACCTCAAATTCGATCTTGGATACAACATCGGATCAAATGAATAAATCGAGTGAGTTGATCCATAATTCATCTCATCATCCATTCTTCCACGAATAGTTGGATGAACAACTTTTATCTTGAGTGATTTCGATTGGAAATTATAAATTGGTTTTCATCAATATTGATTCATCAATACTATACTTCCCTTATTTGAACTTGATGAAGATACAGATAATTCCTAGTTGGCGCTATGAACAGAAGAATTGCTGAAATCGTTTCATGACATTAGTCTTATGCAACAATCAAAAACTTACTCATTAAATCATTTTTCTAGATAAACCCAAAGTGAAGAACCCATGGTCAACTCCAGAGAGAGCAGCTGTCAGATCGGTGTTCAGAGAATATATTTCATGCCAAGGTAGAAATAATAGTTATCCAACAAACCAGCAGCCCCAAAATGCTATTGACACCACTTCAGCATTGAAGGACAGGTCCCCTAAATGACTTCGAAGTAGAATACAACATGAAAGGAGAATAATGAGATCAAAACAATAATGTAGGTATTGTATCTGAATTCAATGAGTTCCAATACCATTGCATACTTTCTCAGAGCTAAACTAACATATACTGTCATAGCGTTGAGTTTGTTCTTAACTAGCGTAGTATTTACTCTGGTCATCCAAATCTGTCGTGGACAGGTAGAAAAACTGACTTTTGCCATAGCGTCGTGAGATAGTTGCCTCTCAGTACATACATCTTTCTGTTCTGAAATGAATAGGAAAATGTTTGCTCATTTCTCTGCCTCAGTACGGCCATGTAATATATTCATGTTCACAACAATTCACGCTTAAAATGATAGTCGAACCACTCATGATTTGGCCTTTCATTTTACATAAAGTATTTTGTGAAGGAATCGTACGATCCACTCGCGATTTTTGCTAAATGATTAGATCAACACAGGGTGTGAAGTAGAACCTTTACACAATTGTAAATTTTTGCAATGCTGTCGGACCTTTCAATAAAATATACACAAAACATTTTAAAGAAGTGTAAAATCATGAGTGTCTCTGATTTCATGTTCGGAGAACAAGATAATCCAACTAATTGTTAATTAGTCACAAAATTTATATTTCAGACTATATTCATAATAATTCCTGAGTATGGTCATGGATCATCTGGGAAATGTCTTCACTCTTTGATAATGATTTTGTGATTCACTGTTCGACAGGGTTCACCTGTGAAGATCTAGAAAAACTCTAATACAAAAGTATTACCAGAAATTATCATGAATTGAAACGAAAGAATATAATAGAGACAAGAAACAAATATCACCTCATTTATTTCGAGAAATCATCACTTTATACTTTTATTCCTCTGATCGATTTGAACGCGTGTCATGATATAGAAGAACAAATTGAGGCATATTTATTGAACTCAATTTTGGAAAATTCATTTAAATAGAACAAATTCAATTCACTATTTGATGGGAAATACAACAACCAAGTTGGAATAGCGTCAAATTTCTATCAACCAGCATCGTGTTTTCTATCAGCACTATGTTTACCAGTGTCGTGTTTCGGTAGCATGCGTCGTGATTCATTCAGCCAGCGGAGGAAATATACATATCTTCCGAATGGCTTCCTCAAATAGTCATTATCACACTCACTGAAGAACTCGAAACGAGATATTAAAATAAGACAACCACCGTCATTGACATTGAAGTAACATCTACTGTAGATTCATTTGAATGAAACAAATTCAATTCAAGTTGGAATGTCATATAATTTCTACCAACCAGCATCGTGTTTTAAAAACAAGAATTGTGTTTCCTAGCGTCGTGTTTAGGCAGCATGCGTTGTGATTCATTCAGCAAGCGGAAAAAAAACCATATCTTTCGTATGGCTTCCTCAAATATTCATTATCACACTCACTGAAGAACTCGAAACGAGATATGAAAATGAGACAACAACCGTCATTGACATTGAAGTAACATCTACTGTAGATTCATTTGAATGAAACAAATTCAATTCAAGTTGGAATGTCATATAATTTCTACCAACCAGCATCGTGTTTTAAAAACAAGAATTGTGTTTCCTAGCGTCGTGTTTAGGCAGCAAGCGTTGTGATTCATTCAGCAAGCGGAGAAAATAACCATATCTTTCGTGTGGCTTCCTCAAATATTCATTATCACACTCACTAAAGAACTCGAAACGAGATATGAAAATAAGACAATAACCGTCATTGACATTGAAGTAACATCTACTGTAGATTCATTTGAATGAAACAAATTCAATTCAAGTTGGAATGTCATATAATTGCTACCAACCAGCATCGTGTTTCGAAAACAACAAGAATTGTGTTTCCTAGCGTCGTGTTTAGGCAGCAAGCGTTGTGATTCATTTAGCAACCGGAGAAAATAACCATATCTTTCGTATGGCTTCCTCAAATATTCATTATCACACTCACTGAAGAACTCGAAACAAGATATGAAAATAAGACAACCACCGTCATTGACATAGAAGTAACATCTACTGTAGATTCATTTGAATGAAACAAATTCAATTCAAGTTGGAATGTCATATAATTTCTACCAACCAGCATCGTGTTTTAAAAACAAGAATTGTGTTTCCTAGCGTCGTGTTTAGGCAGCAAGCGTTGTGATTCATTCAGCAAGCGGAGAAAATAACCATATCTTTCGTATGGCTTCCTCAAATATTCATTATCAGACTCACTGAAGAACTCGAAACGAGATATGGAAATAAGACAACCACCGTCATTGACATTGAAGTAACATCTACTGTAGATTCATTTGAATGAAACAAATTCAATTCAAGTTGGAATGTCATATAATTTCTACCAACCAGCATCGTGTTTTCAAACCAGCATTGTATTTCCTAGCGTCGTGTTTAGGCAGCAAGCGTTGTGATTCATTCAGCAAGCGGAGAAAATAACCATATCTTTCGTATGGCTTCCTCAATAATACAGTTGTGGACAGGACAACTCAGTATCACATTTACTTGTAACGAACTCGAGGAGAGAGATGGAAATAAACAATTTCGGAAAATTTGTTGTGCATCTGACCAGAGTACCTGGTGTTGAAACAACAGGACTATTCGAAACAGTATCGGATGATCCAATTGTAAATACCTACTAATACTTCATTGGAACAAATCGATAATGCAGAGATGCATAAGAAGAATGGTGAGTTCATTATACTTCAGGGTTATCTCACATGTTGAAGTCCTTGTATGGTAGTCGAACCAGCAATCAGACAAACTTATTTTTCCACAGAGTTACTATCAGAAAATACAGTAATAAATAACCCATCATGAATATTCGACAGTGCATTGGAAACAACAGATCGACATCCCATTCATAATTATTCTAATGGTAGTCATGAAAAAAATGGTGAGTTGAGTTATTTTCAAGAAACGGAATCTTTACTTACTGAGTAAACCAATCAGAGCATTTACTTTTGATGTGGTCAGAAACACTGAAATTATCAATGAGTTCCGCAGTGTTGCGTTCAATAGTAAAAAATCATTTGATTCGTGTTGTAGTGAAAATTCCCGTTATTGTGATAACACAGAGAAATTCAATGAATTGTAGATACAGGGCGCAATGGTATCTCACTATGTTTCGTGATGGTTAACCATTTATATGGCGGAAATGTTGATAGACATGTCGCTAAGTAGGTAGTTGTCAGATTAATTTCATCTTGATTCTCACTTTGACATATATAAACTTCTACCAAAGATTATATATAAACAGACCAAGAAAGTAGAAGAACAAAGAGAGTAACAGATCCCATAGGGCTTTACCTATTGGGAACTCTAGATCATGATCTAGAGTTCCCAATAGGTAAAACCCTATGTGAGTTGGAATTCTACTTTTTCACAAAATGCTAACATGTAAACCCCTATGTGAGTTCGTAACCTGAAGAGATAACTAAATCACATATGCCTTTCAGTACTTGTACTTGATTTAGAAATCGAAGTACTGAAAACCCTATGTGAGTTGGAATTCTACTTTTTCCCAAAACGCTAACATGTAAACCCCTATGTGAGTTGGTAACCTAAAGAGAGTGACAGATCACATAGGGCGTTACTTCAACTCATGATCTAGAGTTCCCAATAGGTAAAACAACCCTATGTTAGTTGGAGTTCTACTTTTTCAATAGGTGAAGTTCTATGTGATTTCGTAATGTGAATATTGTCTGTTTTTTAATGAATTGCGAGAAGGTCTTAACGGTGTCGAAGGATCGCCCTGTGATTCCGGATCGCCCTGTACACGGCGATTCTGATCGCGCAAATTAGCATTATAATGATGCGCCATTAACTCCGATATTACTGCAATCTATAAAAATGTGCACTTATTGAACAAACAGAGAAATAGACCTAATGAGACTGATAAGAAATTTCTGGAAGAACAAATTAGCGATATAATGATTTGCGTCAGTAAGTATTGCTGATTAGTTATTATTCTTAGAAAAATTTGTACGAAAAGATAATCAAAATAGGGTCCATATATAAACGAATTTCCATGTTATATTATACATTTCATTTTGTATATTATCTAGTGAAATTATTATTATTATCATTATTTTTTAGTGCAGCTATAACATGGGTAAGTTGAAAATATTCCTGTACCTAATAAAAAAAATTAACAATGTTAAAATTTTCCCAGAAGAGATACCAATAGACGTAATAAGGAATCCGTTACCTGTTTTTTTTTTTTTTTTTTTTTTTTTTTTTTATCGATTGGAGCGCACGAAAGGGAATCCCTATAATGTTCAAAGAACATCGTGCGTTCCTAGGGAGGATAGGGACAGGAGGTAGGTATTGGAATTTTTTTTTGAATTTTTGGAGATTATATGTTGTTGGGAATACTTCCACAGGCAATGAATTCCAGAGCCTAGCCGTTCTATGGATGAAGGAGTCTTGATAAAGTGCTGTTCGACATCTTTCGAGGTTGACGACGAAAGGATGTGCTGACTGGGCTTGTCTAGTTCGTCTGATTGGTATTGCTAGTGAAGGGATGATTGCAGAGATTTCCGAAGAACATTTCCCGTGGAAGTATCGATAGAAAAGTGAAAGGTCGCCGACCTTTCTACGATGTTCCAATGATGTCAAAGAGTGAGTGAGTGTGGCGTCACCCACCAGGCGAATGGCTCTTCTCTGGATGGAATCTAAGAGCATCAGCGTATGTTTTGGTGCTGAACCCCATATGTGGGAACAGTATTCTAGAACAGGTCGTATCTGCGCTTTGTAGATCATGAGAAGCTGTTGAGGTGTAAAGTAGCTTTTCGCACGGAACAAGAATCCGAGTTTTTGTGAAGCAGCTTTTGCGATGGACCTGACATGATTTTCCCATGGAAGGGTGTTGCTGATGGAAATACCGAGCATAGATATGGTGGGCTTGGTGGGGATGGTGGAGCCAGACATCACAATATCGGGCATACTGAGTTCCGCCTTTCTAGAGAGAATGCAGGCTTGGGTTTTGGT